GGGGGGAGCCAGCCCCCGACCAATGGCGAGGAGGGAACAGGAGAAACCCTGAGAGCGCGGGCCAATGAGCGGAGGGGAGAGACTGAGGCTTGGGCCAAGGCTCTGCGCGCGTCGTCCCCGCGATGCTCCGGGGCCGACTTTAACTCCTGGCTCCCCGGTGCCCCGTGGGTTCCTCGCGGGGGGAGGGAGGGGAGCTGAAGGTCGAGGTCAGATCTGTGCCGTTACAAACTCCTGCCAGCCCCCAATCTGTACCTTTTCCGTCCCAAATGCGCTAGGTTTCAAAGACGCTGCAAGCCCAGAGTCATTTTCATTACAGATCTGGGATTTGGGGGGCTCAGACAAAGTGCCAACCTGTCCAAAAACGCCAGAAAACGACTCTCATAATTTCACGCGTGCCCCCAGATGCTTTTAGAGCTGCTGGTTCCTAAGGATTTCCACACACAGGTTATCTGCCTGTTGACCGATTTCTGAGCAGCTCTGGTGAGCGCAAAACGAAAGAGAAAAACCAGAAAGCCCCGTTACTATCCAGAGTCTTGTTGAAAATCTAAAGACCGCTTCCTCCTTCCATCTCTACCTGAGAAGGAGGCCAGGAGAGTGGGCCCCTCCAAGCAGGAGGCCGGCTGGGCGCCGGGCTTACCGCGCGCTCTGCAGGCGGGATCCCCACTGGGCCCGCAGGCAGCAGAGGGCTCGCCTTCCCTTCGGCGCGGATGCGGAGCCGACCTGCGCCCGCTCGGGGCGCCTGCTCTGGAGACCCCACGGAGAGGGGCTGGGCGAGGGCGGCCCGGAGCTTGGACAGCGGAGCAGGAGGATTTTCAAAATTTCCTTCAAATCCGATCGTTCGGGAGTCCGGCTCTCCCCGCCCCGCTGACCCTCCCACCACCCTTACCAAAAAAAAAAAATTAAAAAAATATTTCAGGGCAGTGCGGTCGCTAGGGATTTATAAGGAAATTAAAGTCCAATACTTCTTGGCCATTCTGATTTCCCACACCCCTTCCCAGGTTGCCATACTGGTCTCCCGGCCTCAGGGAAACCCCGAGCCCAGGCCAGCGCAGAGCAAGTTCAGAGGGGCCCAGAAGTTGATCTTACCAAGCTGGAAAAGAGTCTCGGGTTTCGCAGACGAAGACCTCGCCACAGCCTGAAGCTCCCGTGCCAAAGCCCTGGTGGAGACACTTCTATGCCCGCGAGAAGGGGCAGGAAAGAATCAGCTCCCTAGTGCTTGCGGGCAACAGATCCAGAGGCCCAGCAGACTCCTCTCATGGACAGGCAGGCCCTGAGCAGGGTCTGAACCGGCAAGCCTAGGGCAGAGGGGTTCAGGCGTTTCATAGGCCCCGTCTGGAAGGAGCGCCCATCGGTCCTCCCACCCTGGGGCGAGAAGGGAGGGCCTCTGAAACGCCACATTCTCCACCTGACCACCGATGGACCAGGAAATCTAGTCCTTGCTACTGTATTTGGAAGCGCTCTGGTGCTGGAGGCAACCGAGTGTCCTGGATGTACTTGGGCCTCTTCTCAGGAGAGCAAAACAGGCCACTTTTGGAGCCCCCTCAAATTGGGGTCCAGCCCAGATGAGAAGCGGCTAGCAGGGCAGCACATGCAGAAAGGGTAATGGAAAAGCCACTGGATAAGTGTGATTCAGCCAGGCTTGGCCTCCCCTCCAGGGCCTTCCAGGAGCCTGCGTCTCCAACTTGCTCTCTAAGAACCCTGGGATGTAGAAGCCATGTGCTGAGCCCCTCATTGTCTCTCCCCACGCTGCCTAGCAAGCTCGCCAGGAGCAGGGGTGGCTAGGCACAGTGTCTCCCACCTCAATCACCACCTGGCATTGCTTCCAGGAGCCGCTGCCTAAAGTGAGGAAGCATTCACCAGGGGCTGGAGACAGAGACGCCGGCCAAGAGCTCAGACCTCTCTTTGGGTTCCAGATTCTGGTGTCACTGCTGGTGGCTGGAGCCTGCCAGGACCAGCGCCGATGGGGTCGCCACAGGCCGGCTTGTATTCTTTCCCAGAGATTTCCTTCCCCCCTTCGTCCATACCTCACATCTCCCCCGTCAGCCTCCTGCCTTGGCCTTCGCACACAGACCTGGTTTGGATCGAGAAGTAGATGCACCACAGGCCACACATTCTTCCTGAGGCCATTAGAGCTTCTCAAAAAGAGGGATTTTTGGTTATCCACACACATAGATACAGGCCCACAAGGCCTGCTCTGTGTAGGTGCGCATAGGCACGTGTCCCAGAGACATACCTAGAGAGGTGAGCAAAGCCTTCAGGTGCAGGTATCTGCACCCCTCCCCCAAAGCATTCGCTCAGCAGGGAGTGCTCAGCGGGGCCCCTGCATCCTTCCCTTCAGGTCACATAGGTTGTCCCCACCCCCATTCTATATACACTCAGGTCCTACAAAAGTACTTAGGCCATGAAAACAAATCAGATGGTAATGAAGCCAGGCTGGCTGGGAATGGTCAGGAAAATAAGAGTTTCCCTCTAGGTAAAGGGAGGGGCAGGAACATTTTCTTTTCATCACTATAGGGGTCAATCTAAGTTTCCTCCCAGGGGCATGCACTCTTGTGCTGAGGGGAAGACGGTCTGGAGAAATATTAAACAGGGCGGTTTACTGTCTGTGAGTTCGCTGTGTAAGTTTATGTGATTGGGCAGGAGAAGAAAAAGAGAGTTTGGGGGTGAAATATGAAAAGCTGGGAGTAATGAATGCATTTTCCTCCCAAGAATTACATCAGAGGGTTTTCAGATTCTCCTCTGGTTATCCAGGTTTCTTCCCTCCTTTAACTTAGCCTGGGGTCCCCGGTGCATGAGGTTACGTCCTGGGGCAATCCTCAGGTTTCCCAGCCATGGGCTGAGGACACAGGGCCCTGGGTAGAGTCTGTTGAGTCCCTGGGTAGCCCTGCTAAGTCCAGTTCAGGTCTATTTTAGGCCTGAAGTGGATGGGCTAGGACCAAACTGGAGGCCCCACCCTACTCCCTGCAGGGCCCCCAAGAGGATAATTAGTCTGTTAAGCAACTGAAAGGTCTCGGGTAGCCCGGCGGGGGGGAGGAACTCACTGACGGACTGTTGGGACACTGGGGAGGTAGATACCCAGGACTAGCCTGATAGGAGGAAAGCCAAGAAGGGGACAGCAGAGTGCCCACCTAAAACTGACACTGTCCAGATATTTTGAGGTTCCAAAAGAAACCCCGGACAGAATTCTACAGCATAAGGACATGAGTCTGGAGCCCCTGCCTCCTTCACATACCTGTCCTTGCCGTGGGTTTCTCTCCACACTAAACACCACCCGAAATACAACTGCTAATGCCTCAAGGTGAGCCACCGACTGTGCTTTTGCAGTTTTGAGTGAGTAATTGACAACAAAGTTAAAATAGTTGACCAGCAGGCCACCTCAGGCTGCGCTCAAGCGCCTGGGCTGGACACCCTGCGGGGGCCTGGGAATGACAATGAATCGGCCTCACCAGGCAGGTGTCAAACACTGGGATGGCCGGGGTGGGAGGAAGCCGTGGGGACTCTGGGCGAGTGGAGCGTAGGTAGCAAGCAGGCTCCCTCCAACTCTAAGCTGTGACCTTAGGCAAGTCACTTGAATGGCTTGTGCCTCAGTTTCCCCGTCGGCAGGGTGAAGGCGCCCAAAATACTTTACAACCGAGCAAAACAGCAAAGATAATGGATGGGGAGACCCGGGGTCTTAACGGCTGTGATTGAATCTTTGGGGAACAGAAGGCCAAGTACCCACTTTTCGCTTCTTTTCCCAAATTGGCGCCCAGTTATGGGGCGGCTTAGCTGTCCGGGAGCCTTCGGGTGGGCGCGAGAGGGAGCTGGTTTCTGGAGCCGGCTGCCCAAGGCCGGTGCCGC